GCATATAAATCTATCGATTAATGTTCATTTCTATCAATGCAGATTTAACTTTAATATTTTCTTTTTCTAATTCTTACAATTTGAAAAAGATGAAAATTGAATCGATTATAATTTCGTCGTATTTAAGTTTATCTTCTTGTATAGTCTATTGTTTAAAAATCGATTTTAAAGTAAATTTATGACATCTGATTATCAAAGTCATAATATACAGTTGAACTTTCATTCGAAGAAAATTTGAACTTAAATTTAATTTATGACAGAGAACAAATATAAAATTAATTAAATAAGAAACCTTATATTCGGTCTAAGCGGATCTTAGTGTTTAAACATTTCTGTGAATTTATACCCATATCAAATTCTGTATAACGCACGCCAACGTCTTTTCCAATCTTGAAATCATGAACAACATCAATCATGAACAGAACTAGAGTATAGTAATATCACATATTAAATACAAGTGTAAAATCTGATAAAAGAGGAAGAAACTTTCTTACGTTTAGTCGAAAGAGCGTTTATTCAAACTTTTCCTACATCGTAATACAAAAAGTTGCTCGAGCAGATATGCCAATTTTAAAAAATTCAATTTTTTATTCCTTATTTTACATAAGTTCCTATTACAGATATGATTTTTCTCTATAGTTTCTATTCAATTTCAATAATAATATTTCACTTATACTACATAATCTTAATATTCGATAATCTGTCCACAATTCTACATTTTTAACATGCATATCTGCAGGTCAAGAGAAATGGAAGATACATTCATGGGCTTTTCATGATTACAAAATTTCGATTGTTGCGATAATCTATCGTAATTGCAAGGCGTGCAAGGAAGGCCGGCAATTCTCATCACACGCAATTCGACAAATCACGCTCTATCCAGCTAGGCCCGGCAGAGATCTCACTTTTTACAATTCACAAAGTTTTCTCCCTTTTGAATATTTTTCTTAAGCTCCGGGATGGCGGCGTCCAGTAATTTCTGCTCAAAGCTGCTTAGTTTACCTAATCCCAAATTCTTCTCAATTCCATTTTTCTGAAATTTCAAATAAATTCCAAATGAAAATTTTCACTTTTTTTTTATGATGATGTAATTACATAATAAAGTAAAACTTTTATACATTTTTATTGGGAATAGTCTTCTTAAGAAATTTTCGAATATCTCTTAAAAATTGAATTGTATGTCATATTATTCTAAGAACAGACAATATAATAAAAAATACATTTTTATATTGATTAAAAAACAAATCATGTATATGAAGAGAAGATAATGTTTTATTTGAAGTCATTTCTTTTCAAAATGTAGCATGTATTGATGCAGTGTTAAGCAGTTTATTTCGATGTCTTTACTTACGCCCAGAAGTATCGGCGTAGAAAAGTATTTGGCATCAGTTACATTCGACTTGACGTACCAGCACTCGATGATTTCCCCATTCAACGCTCTTATTAATGAAAGGCCAAATCGTGCGCCAGCAAAAGCCAAGGACAAAGTTGTGGATCCAGTTCCTGCTTTAGCTTTAACGATCTCGGTACCGGCCTCTTGAATCCTCTCAATAAGCGCTTTCAGCTAATTATCTAGGAAGGAAACCGATGGTGTGCACTGCGAGATCAACGGGATAATAGTGATGCCACTATGTCCGCCAATGACTGGAACGTTGACTTTTTGTGAATCAAGGCCCTAAAAAAACAACCATTTCAGTATTATTGGTATCTCAACTCTTTTCTTTTTTTTTTTATGAAAGATGTAAAATAAGCGACGTATTCATATCGCTCCAATTAATATCTCATTGAACGAAAATTAATACTGTTGCATTCGACGTCTTTAATTATTCATTACATTTATATATGGGATCATTAGTTCGTTAAAGACAAAGAATAAATCTTATTAACAATATTGAAAATAGATCGAAAAATGTTCAACATAAATGATATGAATAAAGAGATCTACTTGTATTATAGGTCTTTTATTACATATACATTAAATATTACTATCATATCTATAATATTGTGTAATCGTACGTATTTGTTCTGTGCTTATAAAAGCAATCTAATATAAAAGAATAAAAAATACTGAATGCATGTTAGTTTAAAAATCTCTGCTTTCGGCAGAAAATTAGAATCATCGATTTCGGCAAATTATTTATTCTTATAACAGTGGCATATCCAGCGTGATGATTATTGTTACTGATTAAAATCTATGACAACAGAATAGTACAATAATTTCGAGCTTTGATTAAGTATCTTAATCTTTTATTAAATATTAATCAAAGATGAATTTATAAAAATTGAATAAAAAATTTTTTAAATAGTTTATCATGCATTTTACGTTTATTAAGTCAAAATCGACATACATTAAAGTCAATTCACATACAAAAAAATACATTTTTTTGTAATATACAAATTTACAAACATAATATGATTTTGTTTCTCATTTTATCAATAAATATTAATATTCGCTGCCATTATATTCAAAGTATAAATAAACACATTATAATATTAAATAATTCATAATTTCTACAGGAATTTCTATAGAAATACTAATAATTTCTATAGAAATTTAAACTATTATATATATATTCCCTGTTGTTCATTTATGCTCCGAATATGTATGATAATTTTTTATTAATTTATTATATTAAGATATAAGAAAGAAAATTCTGTAAGATGTCATAATTGACAATATTTTTTATCTTAAAATGCTAATATGTAGAATAATACGTAGAATAATACGTAGAATAATTTAATAAGTACAATTATTTTCAAAAATTAACGCACCAAATTATTTATAATTCTGAAGAACAAAAATAATAATTAATATACAAGTATAAAAGAATGCCAATAAAACAAGAATATTAATAAAAAACACGTATATAGGCTAAAAAATCGCTCACGATGCTTTGGAAAGTGATTTGGATCCCAAAAAAAGGAAAAAAAGCTATATAAATATAAGTCCGGAAATAATTTGTTTTCAAATTATAACTATATTTATGTTAAAAAAAAATTGTAATTAATTTTTTATAATTACAATAATAACTTATTTCATACTGTTTTAACTACAATTTTGACTTTTTTTACGTTATTCAGGATACATCACGTGGAGGTATAGTGCGCTGGTATGTTTCTAGTAAAATATAGAAAATGTTTTAAATAAAAGAAATTAAAAAATGAGGTATGCGGAACAGAATATGTTTCCGCGTGATGCATCTTGAGTAACGCCAAAATTATCCAAAATGTAGTTATTTATGTTAAAACACAATGAAATAAATTACGATTGTGATTATGAAAAATGAATGCGTGCTTCTATTCGGTTAAGA